AAAAACTTAAACGCAATCTCATGTTAAGCAAAATTAAAACCCTTTTAAAATTAATAAAGTAATTTCTAATGCTAGTTCTAGGTAATGCAGGCGCCAACTGGGTAGAATACGTGCCCAGCCTTGCAAAAAGGAAGAATGATGATTAGCCTTAAATTTATACGTGTTTCTTATCTTCAAACACGGGTATAGGTGAAAATTAGCAATAATAATTAAAAATTAAAAAAAAAACCTAATACACAATCAATTCTGCACCAAAATATTTATCAGAAAGCTTCAAATTGTGGAGAAAATCTATAAAATCAATATATAGTCCAGTCGTTAGAGATTTGATCTCTAAAACGAGACGAACAAGCTAAATTTTGGAACGTCAATTGGACATAGTTATGCAGAATTGATCCATCCCACACTAACATAATTTTGAAATAATTAACTTTAAAGAAAATTTAATATAACAATTTGAAATGACTATGTTTATTAATTTAAATATGCACAAGTTATTTTAAGGTGTTTATTGCATCTTATGTGCGTATTTTAAAAAATAAAGTATATTTATTTTGTCATTAAATATAAAAAAAAACATTTGGATCATTTCTGCAAAATTGTGTTTCTTGTGGTAAAAAGCAAATTTTTATTATTTGCAGATATGATCCAAAGCGGTGTTTTGTCTGTATTACTGTCAAATTATATTTATTTTTACCAAAGTCTGTACATAAAACAAAGATTTATTTCTGGTAACATATCTTTACATTATAAAAACATTGAAATATTTAAGTTTAGAACGAAGAAACATTATTCTGTAGAACTTTCTTCAGGGGAAAATCTAGTTTATTTCCATACCCATCTATGTCATCGGGAATATTTTTGTTTCCTGTTAACTGCAGATATATGTTTTGTCAGTCTTTTGGAATAAGATCTAAGAACGACTTAATGTCTTTTAACTTTGGAGCTGAAATCTCTTTACCATTAGGCCGCCGTAGAGGCGAAAGATTTTCTGGAGTAAATATTTCCGTCAAAAGTTTACTTTTAGAATTTTTTTTAATATCCAGTTCCACAATTTCATTATCAAAAGAATTTCTCATGAAAATGGAATACGGGTTTTCTTTTTTTAATAAAATTTCTTTGGTTTTAAGCCAATTTATGGGCTTCTTATCTGTTGATAATTTTCTATTGACGATAAGTTTTGTTGTTTAAGTAAGGACAAATGACCTGGTTCTAGAAATCTTTGTGAAATTTTCTGTAAAGTAGGATGTTTTGACAAAAAGAGTTTCAATTATTACATTATCACTTTCATTGATTCTAACATCTCTGTCTTCGCTAATAGCAATAAGACTTTCTTCCACCAGGGTCTCTGATTCCATACTCGTAGATAATTTTTCTAGAAAAAGGAATGTCAAGTTAATATATTTATTAAAATTTTAAAAGGATTATCTGTCGCGAGTTTCATGCTTTTTCTCTATTTAAAAAGTGCACAACGTCGTTACAGAAGTTTTCAGCTCAAAAATTTTATAAATCAATATTTTATAGTACTTACTGTTAGATCTGGCAACATTAAAAATCTTAAATCGTTTGATGTTAATGTAAAACTCTAAACTTTTAAAAAGTGAACATTTTTTGTAATGAACTATATGCATAACATACATACTTATGGTTTTCTATTAAAATGAACGGATTGGATGGCCTTTGTCATATGCATGATTTTATCGAGTCTGTTCATTTTCACTGAGTTGATACTTTTTATTAATAATCCAAAAGGTATCGTTAAATGTTTATAAACAAAACGCACAAAAAACACTACTCTATCACAAGCAGCACCTTGGACAGATCTTGGCTAGCATTGCGTTGTTGTCGCTTGGGTTTCATTGTTATATTACTGCATTATGGAATGTAACACTTCTGCATTTATAATGACCAAAGAAAATTGCGAGAATAACATTTGCTGATATGATTCAAGCTTTTTGAATCGTTACAGTGTTAAATACATTAGTGTTATTGACTTTATTTAATTTTGTAAAAAATGATTCGGGCCACTTGGATCATTTTGGCCTAAAAAATAAAGCCTCGTTTTAAAATTATTTTTAAAACGCAATAATGATCCATGTGACTTGGCTCATTTTTGTAAATTACTTTAAAGCCTGGTTTTAAAATTATTTTTAAAGCGCATTAATGATCCATGTGTCTTAGTTCATTTTTGTAAATTACTCTTAAAAATATTTGAAGATTCAAGAAGCATGAATCATTACTGCACAATCGATTAAAGCTAAAAGAGCGTTTAAGGTTGGACATTTTACTATTATTACTGTTGTCTTGCATAGAAAAGGTTGGATCATTTCAGCATAATTTGTTGAAATGGATCACTTCTGCATAACTACGTCCAATTTTGGGAACCCAATTAAAAGCATAAAAGTTTGCCATTCCTATCGAAAACTTCGGTTTACCAAGAATCTGTACACCGTATAAAAAAATATTATATGCAAGAAATGCAGCTGAGATAATTTTGAACAAAAATGTTAATTAGCACTTTTACTCGATTAGAAATTGACAATACGACATTCCCTCCACATTTTGTCACATGACAAGTATTTTCTAATGAAATGGAAGCCTCCCTTGCGTTGTACGTTAAGAGATATTCTAATATGTACCATGGTTTAACTCCAAAAGCGACTCGCAGATTAGCAGAATTTGCCGAAAAAAAATGAAGTCAAATTTCCAGAGCCTTGGAAAGTAAACAAATCAGCTGGAAAGGACTGGTTTACAGGATTTTTATCGACAATCTGAACTATCCTTACGAACCCCGGAGAATACAAGCTTAACGAGAATTTCCAGTTTCAATACGAGTAAATCTACAGTCAGTAAATTTCAAGGTAAGTTAAAGGAGATTCTAAAAAGGGACAGCTTCACTGGATCGGACATATTTCATTTGGATGAGACGGACGTAACCACAGTTCAAAAAACTCAAAAAGTAGTTGCTACTAAAGGTTAGCATCAAATTAGTCAAGTAGTGTTGCGTGAGAGAGGAGGACTGATTACTCAAGTGCGTATTATTTGAGCGAATGGAACAGCACTTCCACCAGTGTGGGTGATGACCAGTGATAATTTTTTTAAAGTTTTAGAGCATTTTGTAACTCATGTTAAGTGTTCTAAAGAACGCTAAGTTATTTTATTAACGGATAATCATGTATCCCATTTATCTGTTTCTGCTATTGATTACTGCAAAGATAGGGGAATTACAATTCTAACTCTTCCACCCCACACATGTAATAAATTTCCACAATTAAATAGGATTGTTTTTTGGACCATTTAAAAGGTGTTTCAATCAAGGAGAATATTACTGGATGCTCTCTCATCCAGGAAACGCATTATCAATTTATGACCTTGCACCAATATGCATGAAAGCTTAGGATCGATCTGCAACTCGTTCCAACACAAAATCTGAATTTCGTTGCACTCGAATTTGGCCATTGGGTAAAAATATTTTTAGTGAAGAAGACTTTCTATGCTCGTTTGCAACAGACAGAATGGTTCCTTCAACATCAAAAGACCCCAATGTTTCTTTATCAAGTGAATTTTCAAATCAAAATGTGGAGGTGTCATTGCAATTCTGTCTTTCTGCATTGTTTCAGCTCCACCTCTAGTTCAAAGCTAGCACAATAAAAATTACTTATCTCCATCGCAAATAAAACCATACCCGAAAGCTCTAGAAAGAAAATTAACCAGAAAAGGTCCAGTAAAAAGAACAACCATAATAGCAACCGATACTCTGGAACGCAATGTAATTGCAGAAAAAAGAAATTGAAAAAGAGACACCACAAACTAATAAAAACAAAATAGAGATGGTAAAGAGGAAAGTTATAAGCGAGTCTTCTTGCGATGAGGAAGAAGTGATTTACAAAGACTCATCTACAGATTTAGATTTGATGAAGAGCAGCATGAGGACCTTACTAGAAATCGAATCGATAGTTTCGTGGTTTGTAAGGTGTTTGGAAAAAAAATCGGTTCGACATTATGCCGCCGCCAAAATTTTTAAAAAAGTAAGTTGCTTCGAACCGGTTAATAGTTCGTGAAGAGCCTCCAGCATTTGTAACATACGAAGAAGAGATTGTAAGGTTACCAAATCCTTTGACAGATCAAAGTGCCAGATATAAAGACATAATATATTTTAACATTGATCTTTCTCAGTAGAGTAAAATATTTTGTTTGTTTCATTGATATCTAAAGCTTTTTTTTTGGCAAATAAAAACATTAAGTAATATTTTTGTATTTATTCGTTTATTGTCCAGACCCTCCCGATCAGTCGGGAGGTTTGAACACATTACCTCAAGTATGTATATGCGAATATTTCATTCACATTGTTACATTCACAATATATACTGAGGAGACATACATTAATCAGCATGATTTCAAAATTTTAGATATTTGCTAGCCATGTGCACGCCATAATCGTTTATTAAAAAATTGTCTAAACCCTCCCGGCGCTCAAATCTTTAGTTGCATACAAGACCCTAAGGCTTTTTTAAATCACGTCATTTTTGAAAACACCTACTTAAAAAACGAGTTGGAAGAAGCATTTAGACTTAAGCCATTATTTTTAAATATTATTAATTGTAACGGGGACTACAAAACTAGTTAATTTCTCCACAGTGACACTAGATACTCGCATAATCATTGCAAAGTTATTAATTTATTTTAGAATCAAACTAACAGTTTCGACATTTTCTTAAAAACCTACTTTTTTGAGTTGTCACTTTTCAAGCAAGGATGAGATTTCTTCTTCTTTCTTCCTTTCAATATATGATTTGTTGTCTAATTTAGTGGCCTTCTCTAAACGCACATGCAGATAATTTCGTTTTTGTGTATCAAAAAACATCGGATTTAGTAATAACCAAATAAAAATAGGGCGAACACAAAATTTAAAAATCAAAAGTTGTATTAGATGCGGATGTCAAACGTCACTGCACCAAAACATGAATAACCTTTACTGTATATATTTGACAAGACAAGACAAGTACTGTATGCTACTTTGTCAAGATACGTTCCATATGTTTCATATAATAGTAATAATAATAATCTTATTTCATTCCGCAATTCTTTTTCATGAACCTCCACCTGGTCCACTAACAGATCTAAGTATATGTAAAGTATCACACTTAGGTATAGAATATAAGGGAACCGTTCAAAAAACTGAATCAAAGGTTCGGTGTCAATCTTGGACATCATCACAACCTCATCAAATTAAAGATGATTTGTTGGATGCAAATTTTTCAGATGGCTCAAGAAAAACGGCTAAAAACTTTTGTAGAAATCCTAATAAAGATTCTCTTGGACCGTGGTGTTATAGCATGAATTTAGACTTGCAGTTTGAAACATGTGGGATACCTCTATGCCAGTTGTCTCAGGTAAGAATTTTTTATACTCAAAATACATGACAAACAAATAGTACCTAATGCTGCTAACGTTGTAAAAACAATCGAAGCCAGAGAAGAGCATTTATTGAAACAGCATTAAACTTTGTATTGTTAATTATTGTTGTTAATTATTATAATTGTAATAAAAGTTAAATGCATTAGATGGATGAATTACAAACACTTAAGGTGCGATACCGAAAGTAAGAAATGGCTAAGCAACTAAAAATAATGGAATGGTTTTTCACAACATCAACCAGAACTCAAGGTACTTTTAGATGTACCAGCAAACATGAACAACGTCTACCTCAACGTATGATTCTCGAGTCAATTCAACACGGATTGCAACATGGATCTAGCAATGTGACTCAAGAGAAGAAAACTCTTCGAGTTGGTGAATTGGAAAGCAGAATTCTTTAAAAAGTGTTAATGTTATTAGTGCGAGTAGGCTAGAATATATAGAAAGATTAATGAATTGTAGTTCCAAAGGCTAACTTTAAATAATTTAAGTTGGAAACATCTACAAATTGATATACAGGGTGAGTCATGAGGAACTTTACATACTTCTACCATATGTAGAGTCCCTCAGGGAACATATATGTGGCCACTAAAAAATGTCAACTCCTCTTCTTTATTAATTAACAGGGTGATTTGTGCATATGACCATTTACTTCATTTTACTGTAGTGTTTATACGGCTCATTTGATTTTTAAATTTTGCATGATACAGTACACTACTATCAAGCATTCGACTGGTATTAGCTAAACTAAAAAATTCCAGGACTGGCTTTGGAAAAATTAATTTAGGGATTCGTATTAAATATTACACCCTGTATATATATTTTTAAAATGCAATAAGTGATTTTCAAACTACATAAATAGCCAATGAAAACGACATATGCGATAATGTTGTCGCACTTTTATTAAATTTTTAGTGAACGATCAAATCTTACCAAACATAGAACAACCATAATGAAGTATCAAATTATAAGGTAATTAATTTAAACAAATGTTATAAAGTTCAAACATTTTAATTAAAATGAGTTCCTACAACATAATCTAATACGTAGAAAATTAACATCTTTACTGTCACTTTGTATTATCTCTACGATAGAATCAATTGTTTTTCAATTTTAAATTTTTACTCATAGATCGTATTGAGGCATTATTTTCGATAAATAATAAATAAAATTGATTAAAAAGTCAAACCTCTTGTATGTGTTAGTTTTTGTTGATAAAAAAGTTTAAAATGAAGGCTGGCGTTGACCGTTTGACGTTTCGTGATATTTTATACCCATTGTCATTATTGTCATTATCAATTGTTATTTATGTGTACAAGAATACATATTTCTTCTGTCATATCTACGTTAAGTACATTGCATTAGTTTTGGTAGAGCTTTTGTTACTTTCGTTCAAAATGCCACATCAATTTTCGACCACAGAATATGCAGACATAATATTTGTTTATGGATTCTGTAACGGGAATGGTACGGCTACTAGTAGAGAATATCGCAGGAGATTTCCTAATCGTCGAACTCCCAGTCATCCAACATTTGGGTCAGTTTTTAATTATTTGCGAGAAAATGGCACTTTTGCTAGTGCAACAACAAAGCGACATGTAGATGAAGCACAGGAAGATGACATTATGGACGCCGTTACTATGAACCCTACAATAAGCACTAGACAAGTAAGTCGAGAACTCAATGTTACTCAATCAAAAGTAAGTAGAGGTTTACAAAAAAATAATCTATATACATATCACATTCAAATGGTTCAGCGACTACATGCTGGAGATGAGATCGATAGGTTGGAATTTTGTAGATGGATTAACAATAATCGACCAACGCTATACAGGACACTATTTACAGATGAAGCCCAATTTACCAGAGACGGGATAAATATTTCAGGAAATTCACATGTGTGGGCAGAAGAAAATCCCCATGCTATTCGAGAACGTCGTTCTCAGTTAAGGTTTTCGGTTAACGTGTGGATTGGTGTCATAAATAACCAATTAGTAGGTCCTCACTTTTTTGATGGTCCTTTAACAGGGCAGGTCTATTTGAACTTTCTACAAAATATTTTGCCGAATTTGCTTGCCAACGCGAACGTTGCTATCCGAGGGATGTATTTTCAGCATGATGGGGCACCCCCACACTTTTTACTGGCAGTGAGACAACATCTCAATAATGTTTATGGCAACAGGTGGATAGGACGTGCAGGTCCTATTTCGTGGCCTTCAAGATCCCCTGATTTCAATCCCGTTGATTACCATATTTGGGGACGATTGAAGCAACTAGTTTACGCACTGAATATTAATAACCGACAACAATTAATTGATAGAATTATACATTATTGTAATATACTGAATTATACATTATTATTATTATTATTACATTATTATTATACATTATACATTATTGTAATACTATTAACGATCCCCAGAGTATCCGTAATTCAATACGTCAATTAACAATTCGGCAACAAAAATGTGTACAGGCTGCAGGGTTCCATTTCGAAAATCTATTTTGAATTATTTTTATTTTGTTACCACTTTTGTATCTTTTATAGTTCTAATTTATGGGTTTATCATAACTATGTACATATTTTAAGTTTTTTTTTAATTGTTCTTCGTTATTGTTAGTAGTTACTGTTTTTTGTTGTGCAGTGACTCAGTTTATCATTTCAATTAAAATGTTTGAAATTTATAACATTTGTTTAAATTAATTACCTTATAATTTGATACTTCATTATGGTTGTTCTATTTTTGGTAAGATTTGATCCTTCACTAAAAATTTAATAAAAGTGCGACAACATTATCGCATATGTCGTTTTCATTGGCTATTTATGTAGTTTGAAAATCACTTATTGCATTTTAAAAAAGATATATACAGGGTGTAATATTTAATACGAATCGCTAAATTAATTTTTCCAAAGCCAGTCCTGAAATTTTTTAGTTTAGCTAATACCAGTCGAATGCTTGATAGTAGTGTACTGTATCATTCAAAAATTAAAAAAATCAAATGAGCCGTATAAACACTACAGTAAAATGAAATAAATGGTCAATTACACAAATCACCCTGTTAATTAATAAAGAAGAGGAGTTGACATTTTTTAGTGGCCACATGATATGCTCCCTGAGGGACTCTACATATAGTAGAAGACTCTACATATGACTCACCCTGTATCTGATTAGCTTGTAGTAATAAGAATATCCTTTAAGAATTTTGTTTAAAAAAAAATTACTCTATAATTTTTTGATAATTCCAAATAATATAAGCTTATGCTAAACTAAATGTTCTAGTGTAAACTCACAGGACCCGGTATGGAATATGCAGGAGACTATAATAAAGGAACGTCACAAAGAAAGTGTTTAAAATGGAACAAAGACCGCAAAAAAGTTAAACACCAGGCAAACTATATCTCAATACCTAAATTCGACAAAAAACGGTTTCCAGAAGCAGATCTTTCTAATGCTAAAAAGTTCTGTAGAAATCCTAGTGGCGATATCGGAGGTCCTTGGTGCTTTGTTGAAAATGAAGATACCGATGAAGTCGAAAAGGAGTACTGTGATGTTCCTCTCTGTGATGATCCAGTCTGCCTTGTGTTTTCAAAAAATTCGGACACGTACATGCACTATACAGATTTCAATAACACTTTAGGTGAGATTTTACATTCCTAAGTTTTTTATGTAATTTATTTTTATGTAAGTGTTATGTTTTTTCAGCAAATCTATCCTTTGGCGTTAAGCTTTGGGACTCAGATTCCTATTTAGAAGCAAGCGCTAGAATAGTTTTAACCCTTTTACCACTGCCTTTAACCGGAGCAGAAATAGAATCTGCTGGTATCGGCATCGAAATTCGCATTGGCAACAACTTTTCTACCCTGAGTTACGGAAACGTCGAGAATCCAGAACTAGAAGCGACTCACGGAATTTTGAAGTCAACGGAGTTTACTAAATTTTCTTTGAGTTGGCACAGAGGCTTTATAACGTTCGGATACGAGGGAAAAGTGAAGCCTATCTTTCTTGCCGAGTATCAGACCAAAAACAATCTTATGGGCTTTTACATGGACCAGTTTAATTATTATTCAGTTCAAGGAACGAATATCATTTGGTCTTTTCCTTTTTGTAAGGATGATTTTGAGTGTGATGCTCATATTACCACAGGTAAAACTACAAAAATCTGTTTTTTATAATATATTTTCTTTGAATATATGTTCTATAAAGATAATTGAAATATGATAAAGCTCCCTTTTTTAATTTTAAAGACTTATTGCTTCAATGATAAGAGTTATTCTTTGGCTGCTCTCCTACAGCTATCTACCCTCAATATTTTTCTAGCATCAGTGCTCACTCCGTTTATCCACCTCTTCCTTGTCTTTCTACTGGCCAATGTCCCACCATAAATCCACTATGCTCAATATTAGACTAGGGAACTAACGATATTCCCATGACTGTATATGTGCTGAACTCCTCACACTTTTTTCTGCTTCCTCATTAGGCAGACAGCGTAGCAAACGCCTTTTCAGCAATAGCTTCAAAATTACAGGTAGTAAGGAAAATAGCTACGAGGAATGCAAACCTAAGGAGGAACGAGAGGCATTCAACGAACAGTTGCAAACCATCCTGGATGAAATACCTCATGAAGAACCCTTAATTCTTATGGGTGACTTTAATGCACGAATCCTAAATGAAATAGTTTCAGGAGCAAAAAAAAGATTTAATGAAAACCATGTCAACGCAAATGGAGAACTCATGGCTTTCTGTGCTTTTAATGAACTGAGAATCATTAATACATTTTTCGACCGTAAGCTCCGCTATAAATGTACATTTGAAAACTTCTTCTTCTTCTTCACGTTCCATCTCCTCTAAAAAGGTCGGCAACCATCACAGCAATTCGCACTTTCGACGGCTCTAAAGCGGTCAGCAGAAGTGCAGTTAAACCAAGCTCTCAAATTATTCAACCAGGAGATGTGTCTTCTTCCGCGACTCCTTCTACCCTGTAGGAGGCTTTTGGGTAGATATGGGTAGAGGGTAGAATTGAAAACTCCAGGGCCACAAATCTATGAATGATTTTGTAGCCACTAATAGAAAAATTCACCCAAATCAAATTCTAGATATCCGAACTTTAACTCAGCAGACGCAGGCAGTGAACAGAAACTAGTACTAGCAAAAATAAGAATGAAAATAGCACCAAAACATTTTCTACAGGAAATCACCGAGGAAAAATTCAATGTAGAATTACTGTGGAACGACTCTACAAGAGAAATGTACGAAAGGAGGCTAACACAGAAGATACAGCTGAAACACATAGACCACATTAAAGATATAAACGCGAGCTAGGAGACAAATTAAAAACAACATTGAAGAAGCAGCAACAGAAGCTTTAGGAAAACGCAAAGTCATACTGAACAAAAGAAACAACAATACGCCATGGTTCACAAAAGAAATAAAAAAAATGTAAAGAAAAACAAGAGGTCTACACGAAGTACAAAACATCAAATACTCTAGAACCTCGAGACACCTACAAAAGAATACGAAATGAAACAAAGTAGTTGGTAAGAAGAACAAAAAATGAACACTGAGAACAGTTTACAAAAAGGATGGAAAGCAACTTCTACGGTACACTAAAACAAATATGGAGATCCATAAGAAACCAAAAGAAAATAATCGCAGAATTAAAGGAATACAATAACATACCAGCAAACGAAGGGGAAAGCTACCTGAGAACTGTTTAAAGGAAAGGACATTAATAATCAACACAATAACGTACCTGAATTAAGACACGAAATAGAAATCAGTTTTCAGGAAGTAGAGATAACCATAAATTCACTCAAAAATAGAAAGTTACGAGGACCAGACGGAATAACCAACGAGCTTTTAAATCACGGAGGAGAAAGTATTACTCTTGAGATGACAAAACTTATACAAAAACTAATATTGCACTGCAAGATACCAGACGCATGGAGAAAAGCATATTGATACCAATGTTTAAGAAAGGAGATAAAGAAGACTCCAACAATTATAGAGGTATAAATCTACTAAACACCGTACTTAAACTTACCACAAAAGCCCTAACCAACAAAATCTATAAACTAACAACTTTATTAGATGATAACAAGGATTCAGATCCGGAAGATCCTACGTAGACGCCGTATCTCTACTAAGACAAATCACAGAAAAGGCCATCGAGTACAATAAACCAGCATATCTATGTTTTATAGACCTGAGAAAGGCTTTTGATCGCATCCAAGTCGAAGACGTCTTACACCTACTGTATAAAAGAAACATACCAATCAATTTTCGAAACCATCGACAAACCATCGAAAACATCGACTTGCATAACCGAATACAGGTAAAGATAAATCGAAAACTAAAGGTACGATTCCGAACACGACCGCAAACTGCAAACCGCAGCGACAGACCTACTGTTTCATATGGTTTCTTATGAGCTGTATGTCGAATAGAGCGGCACTGTCGCCACCGCAAACCGCAGGACTGCACCAGAACCAGTAGTGTCGCCGACCGCAGAGTGACAACACGTATTTTTGCTGTTTCTGAATATATCTTCGTTAGCCATTAGATGATTTTTAATAAGTATTGAATAACTTTCTTCAAATTGTGTATTTTTAAATAGAGACCTAGTCGGTTTCCTTTTTCTTTTATAATGCAAAAGTAAAAGATCGTCGTCATCTTCTTCTTCCATCTAAAGATATAATATTAATTCATCGTCGTTCATTGCGTCTGACATCCTACTTATACGACTTTTAATATTATACTATTATAAATTCCCATCGTGTAATGCTGTTGTCGCTGTTTTGTAGATGCAGTGCAGTTCTGCTCGGAATTGGTCTGACCGCAGACGACACTGTCGCTGCAGTCTGTGGTTTGCGGTCTGCAGTCTGCAGCCACTTTCGGAATTTAACCTTAACACAGTGTATATCAGTACAAAAAGCGGAGTCAGACAGAGTGGCTCGTTAAGCCCACTTCTCTTTGATATAATAATGGACAAAATAATACAACCAGTACGTAAAGGTCATGATTACAGAATGGGGAACAAAGAAATCCAAATATTATGTTATGCAGACGATGCTGAATTAATCGCCGAGATAGAAGAGGAGCTCCAAAGAAACAGACACCTTCAATACAACAGCCAACAAATACAATATGATAATATCAGCAGAAAAAAACACATTTATGACAACATCTAAATACCCTCATCGATGTAAAATCGTAATTGATGGGAAAATAATAAAGCAGGAAGCAATGTTTAGATATCTGGAAATATAGGCGATGTTGAAGAAGAAGTGCGACAACAAAGTTTAAAAGCAAGTAAAGCTGCGAAATCTCTTAATGACACAATCTGGAAGAACAAACACCTAAGACAAGACACAAAAACAAGAATCTATAAAGCAGCAATTAAACCTATATTAATAAACACGGGGGAGACAAGTCTGTTGGATAGAGAGAGAGAAGCAAAAACATAAGAAGGCATGCAATATAGAAGACATAAATGGATCGGTGACAAAACGAAAACAGGAATGGAACGAACACATTAGTAGAATGGCAGAGGATAGGATAGTACGAATAGCACGAGATAAGTCACCAAATGGACAAAGAAGTGTTGGCAGACCAACAAAAAGATATTGCGATAATTTAAACAATTTAGGAGGCTAATATTGAAGAAGAAATAGGCTTTAAAGCCTACATACAAGAAAGAAGAAGAAAATCGGCCTATACGATGATACTGTATATGGTTGTTTTCTAGGTTTAAGGATCATTATTACCTTTGCTACTTTCCATATCTTGGGAATATATCTTTATCTCAACGAGGCATTTATATGATATGTCAGCTTTACTATGGCTTTTTTTATGGAGTTATTTCAAGATTTTTCTAGTAATTAAATCAAACCGAGGCGCTTTCTCCGAGAATGGACTAAAAATAAATTTTAAGAAAACCAAGTTCATGGTATTTACAAAAGCACAATAAGCTAGTACTAGATAATACAGAAATTGAACAAATATCTTCGTACAAATACCTTGGAGCATGGATCACAGAAGATACTGATCAGACAAAAGAAATAAGATGCCGCATTGAAATTGCACGGTCAACTTTTAATAGAATGAGAAAACTTTTTTGTAATCGCGATATCAATATATCGCTCCGGATAAGAATGCTTCGATGTTATATTTTCTCTACCCTTTTGTATGGAGTTGAAGCTTGAACACTTAAAAATTCCAATATTAAAAACCTAGAAGCATTCTAAATGTGGTGTTACCGACGTATTTTGAAAATATCATGGATGGATCGCAAAACAAACGAAAAACTAGGAAAACAATGCAAAACAAGTTTTAAATTCCATAAAAATCAGGAAATTGGAATACTTGGGGCACATCATGAGAGGTGAAAAATACGAACTACTAAGGAATATAATGCAAGATAAAATCAAAGGCAGAAGAAGCATAGGAAGACGTAAAATCTCGTGGCTACGCAATCTCCGTGAATGGTTTGGATGCAGTTCAATTGAACTATTCAGGCGCGTAACCAACAAAATTATAATTGCCAGAATAATTTCCACTCTCCGATAGGAGTGGAACTTGAAGAAGAAGATGAGACGCTTTTCTTTTGTGTTATTGTGCGATAAAATCTAAACAAATTCCATCTAATTATTTGTTTTCTTTTCCGTGCAGATATAACAACTAATTTTGTCCTGTTTTCTATTGTATGTTTGGATATATTCCAGATGTATTTATGAGATACAGCTGTGGGGCTGCGTAATATTTAAATATTGTGTTCATTTGAGGAAAGATAATATAATTACCACAAAGAAACAGTTTATTACAACAATATTAAGCCTTGATATTTATTATAGGTGCAGAATTCCAACAATTTTGGCCACTTCGGGAAAAAGCATCTGGTTACGATCTTTATATACATGTCAGGGCCCACCATTCGGCATGTGTCAAATTTGTACTAGCTCCGACAGTAGATTTTCCAAACGTGATATTAACTTTATTGGGCAAAAATAATTACACTAGGATTACTCTAGTAGAGTACAGAGGTCAGTATCAAGTATAACTAAATTCAACTATGGTACTTTTAGGTACAGGAATGAGATCATTTTTATTTAATGCTACAATAATTTAAAGTCATTCATGCATTTCTCTCAAAGTATCATTGATCCAGTTTATGGTTATCTCAATGATGTTTATTCAACAACTTCAATGATTCTGACAAAGAGATATTTATGGACTTTAATATTACATCAATCAGCGTGTTAAATTTTAAATTAATATCCAAATTATCATTAGAGACAAAATTAAAGTTACCATTCAAAAAAACCTGAGTCAAATTGAAGGGATCATCCCCTGATTGCGCAATTTGTGGATTAGTAAGTTGGGGGAAAGAAAATTCCTTTGTGGTCAGATGTGATCCACATATCAGATGGGTTAGGATCCACAAGTTTTATAGCTCTACTCAATAGTTCTCGAAGGGTATGAATATAATCAATGTTACTGGATCCACTTCTGAAGCCAGCTTGCTCTCTTGGCTGTGCAGCATCTAATGCGTTTGTTAATCTGTTGTTTATGATCTTTGTGAATATCTTGTATATGATTGATAGTAGACTTATAGGTCTGTAGTTTTTGATATCCTCTTTGCTACCTTTCTTATGAATGAGAAATGTTTGCTGTATTCCAATCAGTGGTCTGGTATTTATCTTGATCTTAGGCAGTTCATAAATATGCCTGCTAAGATTTTGCAGGTTTTATTGCCAGCGTATTTAAGCAGTTTCACTGTTATACCATCTATTCCAGCTGCTTTACCGCTTTTTCGTTTTTGTAATTGTCGATTCTCCTTCTTCCAGAAGGACTTCTCGTACATCTTCTTGATTGCTGATTACTTCTACAAGTGTGTCAGGGCTTTGTATAGTTCGCTGTAAAACTTAGTCACGAGTTGTATTATTTCATTTCTGTTGGTAATTCTGGTGTTTTCGTTTGTTAGAGCAACGATTTGCTTCTTCCCAATGATTAATGTTTTTCTTGTTTTCTTGTAGTTTTTCCTGTTTTCGATTGCATTTTCTACCAGTTTTTCATTGTATTTTCTTGTGTGTTCCTTGAATGATTTAAATTTCTTTCTTTCCTTCTCATTTCTATCACCGACTCCATACTTTCCCACGACTTGTTCCTTGTCGTTTCACTTTCCCACTTTGGCATTAAAGTCACCAATTAAATACTTGAAGTGACTTATATTGTTATTTAATGCTTCATTTATGTTACTGTAGAGTTCCTCTATTTCTTCGTCAGTGTGAGTAATCGTTGGGGCGTATATTTGTATAATTTCTATATTGTATCTCTTTGATAATTGTATGTATAAGCCCTTAATATAGAGAGTATGTAGGTCATCAGCTACAAGACAGTGCTCATTAAGACACAAACTATCAGCTAAAACATCCTTAAGCAGTAATTCAAAAATCAGGAAAAGAGTTACGCAATGACTGAGCATTATAATGAATGATCTTTAAATAACTTTTAATTTTAAGAACACTTGAACAGGATCCAGTCACATTGGCATCCTCTTCACAAAAAACTTTAGAAACTACTACACCCTTTGGCCAAACATCTTTGTTTCAGGCTTTCTTTAGGTTTTTTTGATTAATTAATTAATTAATTAATTAATTGATTAAATTATGGATTAATTAAGAGAGACTATTTGAATTCCATATCACACAACAAACTACCACTTGATTCTACTGGATGTGCTATCTATCGCAGATACCATATCTTTAAGTCACTTTGTCCATATTAAATTTCAAAAAAAAAACAATTTTCAACAAAAACGTAACCGATTTATTATTGCAGATGGCGCAGAAAGGGATTTAAAGCAACTACAACTCCAAAACATAATAAATTACTGGGAATGGAGAGAAATTTCAATAAGTTTCTTTGCTAACACGATGACTGTATACATAAAGAAACCTCTCGGATTACAAACGTTAGCGGAAGTTAAAGACGATATTTTCAGAAATGTTAGATGGTTTAGCGTTAGTTCAGAAAATACGGTGGCTCATTGGAGCTTTTACTGCAAACCTCCTCCCCCTGCTAATCCAAAGAACGCGTTTTTACCGGAATGTGCGATTAATTCACAGGAATCGAATTATAAGGGAACACAGGATATAACAAGTAAAGGTAAATTGTTTTCTAAAAGTTTCAATTTTTTTTGTTTAATAAATAAAAAAACTTTAAAATGATTGACATAATTTTGAGGTCTCCCTTGTCTTCCATGGTCAGCACAAAAATTGTTACCTCAAGAAATAAAATTTTCCAACAAAGACGAACTGATGAAGTCCTGGAATTATTGTAGAAATCCAATTGATTCTAATCAACGCACTTATTGCTACACTGTTTCAATGAACCCTGATAAGAGAATAGGGAAATCATTTTGCAACATCAGAAAATGTAAATCTGAACAATGCCGAATGGCTGGAACTGCAAACGATTATAGTGGAACCCTAAATCGAACTAAATCTAATAGAACTTGTGATACTTGGGTTACTGAGACATTTTTGGATAATTCAAGTATAAAAAATTCAACACTAGAATTTTTATTAAAAAAAAACTATCCTGAAATATCTACAACTCCAGTAAGTCAAGAAGCACAGAAGCCTGTTTGGAACGATACTTTGTTTCCAGAAGGTTCTTCCATTAAAGCCGAAAATTTCTGCCGCAATCCCTCCAGAAATATTGCGGGGACTTGGTGCTATACAACTGATCCTAATGTTCCAGAAGACGCCTGCAATGTAAGGGACTGTGATAAGCCTGAAGAATGTACTATGATAATATCCACCACTCTTACTGACAGGAAAACTTTTATTTTACCGCAATGGAAGGAACCTGGACTTCAAGGAGGATTAAGATTTGCTATAAAGGAATGGAATCCTGACTTCATAGGTAATGTAGCTACCAAAATATTAAATTAAATCCCTTACCCCAAAATCCTTGAGCACGATAACCTTAGGTACTTTTATATCTTTTAGACGGTTTGAGTATATTAATCACTCCAAAATTGGATTTAGAAAACCTGACTTTACAAATAGCAGCTGACAATAACGAAAAAGTGAAACTGTTTAAAAACAACGAACTTCTAGCGCAAAAAACCCTCCCACATCTTATAGGAGCTGGCAAATGGACGGATTTCTGGTTGCAAATACGAAAAGGCGAGATCATGTTCGGTCTAGAAGGCGTTCCTTCGTCGTTATTCGAGTGGATAAGTCCCAATGAAGATGATGAATTTGAACCGATGTTTGTCAATTTTGCTTCGATTATTGGTAAACCGATGGGTTTGAGTTTTAAGTGTGATGAATGCCATACACAGAACGTAACTGTATATAATACTGAAGTTTATTACCCCATTGGGTGAGTATTATCTTTTAAAATTGATGAAAACCTAAGTCAAAATTATGTAACAATAAAACACTGAAAACTTTGTTTTCAAACTTCCACAAAAATTTTTGTGGAAGTTTGAAAACAAAGTTTTCAGTGTTTTATTGTTACATAAAATGAATTTCCATCAAGTAACGGTCGAATCCATCAATCCTCTCTCTCTTCAATCCTGACCCCCCAGGGGGAGTGTAGTGGTCGACGTGATGTCGTGTATTGTCCGTCTCCAGAGATCTCTGTCTCTGGTCATTTCTTTTAATTCATGCATAGGTCTTTGGCATATTCCTGTAATTTGATCTATCCATCTTGTTGGGGATCTTCCTCGTGATCTTCGGCCTTCTACCTTTCCTTGTATTATGAGTCTTTCCATGTTTTCTGTGTTTGCTCTCATAACATGCCCAAAATTTTTAATTGTTGGAGATGGACTTTACTAGAGAGTCGTTGGCTAACTTTTAGCTCTCTTAAAATTGAATTATTTGATCTACGGTCGGTCCAAGGAATTCGTAACATTCGTCTCTAACAGAACATTTCAGTGGCGTCTATCTTTCTTCTCTCCGATTGTCTCAGAGTTCAAGATTCACATCCGTAGGTCAGTATTGGGAATATTAAGCAGTTGATCAACCTCATCTTTATCGCTCTTGAAATTTGACAGTCCTTCCATCCATTATTTAGATAATCCATCAATTATTTAAGTCAAAATCATTCTGTATTAATCGCATCATTTATTTTAGTTTGTGGAAAGAAGAGAAACCATTATTGAACAACGTAACTTTACTGATTAGAGGAACTGGAATTACCGTTATAAAATTGATGCTTTTACCAGAACATCCTGACTTCTTTTTATTAAATATGGATGGTATAAAAGAAACCATTTCATTCGACAGAGTAGAAGGCTCAAAACCAAATGTTCAACTTAAAATGCAGCATATTAAAGAAGTCATTTCGGAACATTCGTGGACGAAATATTTAATTATATTTAATGAATCAAGAATAGATGTCAAACGAAATAATGTCACTGTTTTAACATATACCAGTCCAAAACCGCTTTTAATTTACTGGTTTTCTGGTAAAGTATCATTGAGTTTATGTTTTTTGTATTGTATAGTATATTCTTGGTCTCAAGTAATCCAGATATATCACCCAGCATATTAATTAGCTAAATGAGCCACACTCTTAAAATTGTCCTAAGAATACTTCACAGAATTAGACGCAAATGCGAAGATCTCGAAGATACCCAATTTGGTTTCAGAAATGCTATGGGAACCAGGGAGGCACTTTTTGCACTTAACATTCTATTACAGAAACGCGTGACCAAAGAAGATATGTATTTGCATGTTTCATGGACTTCGAAAAAGTATTCGATAAAGTACAGCATGTAAAATTAATGCAAATACTGAAAAATATCGGAATAGATGACAAGAATATTCGTGTCATTAAAAATTTGTACTAGAATCAAATTGCTATCGTAAAAATTGGAGATAACTGCACCGATGAAATCCCCATACAACGGGGAGTCAGACAAGGTTTAATTTTGTCGCCAACATTGTTCAATGTTTACTCGGACCAGGTACTTGAGAGACAACCATATGAATAAAAATCAACGGGGAACTACTTAATGTGATTATATATGTAGACGATACAGTAATTTTGTCAGATAATATTGAAGGTCTCCAAATGGTATTTGATCGTATTCGCGAGGTAGGAGAGGAAATTAGCATTAAAATAAACTCAAACAAAACCAAATTTTTAGTGTTTAGTTGTGACCCACATCCCGATGTAAAGCTTCAATTAAACGGAGTCCAAGTTGAGAAAGTTCACAAAATGGCATATTTGGGAACGTGATAACGGACCAACTAAATCCAGACATAGAAATAAAACGTAGAATAGCAATGACTAAAACTACTTTTATGAAAATGAAGTTATTTCTTTGCAATAATCATCTCAGTTTAGAACTAAGACTAAGAACGGTTAAGTGCTATGTTTGGTCCTTACTTTTGTATAGTGCAGAAGTGTGGACGCTAAAAGTATCGATCATGAACAAAATTAAAGCATTGAAAATGTGGGTTCATAGATGAATGCTAAAGATACCTTGGACAGCAAGGAAAACTAATAAAGAAGTACTAAGGAGCGTCAACAAAGATAGCGAACTGCTAAAGACTGTTCTTCTTCTTCTTCTTTTGGCAACATAAACCTGGATGGGTCTTTGCCTGTCTGGCTATGTCCTTCCATTCAGATCTCTCTTGTGCCCTTCTTCTCCATTGTCTTATGTTCATTGTTTTCAGGTCGTCTTCCACGTTATCCAACCATCTCGTTCTGGGCCTTCCTTTTTTTCGCCTTCCTATGGGCTTTCATTATAACATTTGCTTTGTTGTTTTTGCATCGTTTTGTCTCTGCACATGTCCCAGCCATGACAGTCTTTGACTTTTCACAAATCTTACAATGTCATAACCTTCATTTAACTCATTAACCTCGTCGTTTCTCCTGATTCTCCATGTGCCATCTTCCTCTTGTACCGGGCCATATACTTTCCTCAGTATTTTTCTCTCGAATGTCCTGAGTTGGGCTTCATCTCTTTTCGTCATTACCCAAGTTTCACATCCATAGGTTACTACGGGTCTAATCAGTGTGCTAAAGACTGTTAAACATCTAAAAATGTCTTATCTGGGACATATAGTAAGGGGAAGTCGATATAAAATATTACAACCAATCCTTAAAGCAAAATGGAGGGCTGTAGAGGTGTAGGAAGAAAACAAGTTTCTTGATTAAAAAGCATTCGTGGACTCAGATATCAAATTCAGTACAATTATTCCATATTGCAGAAGATCGGGAAGCGTTCACAATGGTGATCGCCAACATCGGAAAATTGTGATATGGCACGCGAAGAACAAGAACATCACCCAGAGTTTTTGAAGTGAAAACTTGTTTAGCGATGTTGTGCACTTTTTGGATGGGAAAAAAGCATTGAATACGCGACAGATTTTTGCGACAGTCACCAATAGGCAAATCGGTCACAAAGTCAGACAGCTCGAGAACGGCTAGACAAATCGTGACGTATGAGGTCTCGTAGGAAAGGGGAGTGGTAAAACATGGCGAAAATACATTATACCTCCGTTGTTATTGGTCCGATTGGAGCGTATGATGCGTTGAATGAAAGTGAGGGGGATAATGATTATATTAAGACAGAAAAACATACCAAGGCAACTACCAAAAACCAAAAAAACACAGCAACGCCGTTATTAATACATGTAGCTATCTATACAGCCCTAAACATCCATCCTCCTCCTCCTTCCATGCCTCTTTATCTTGGGCAATTTGCATCCATTTTGACCCGGCGTGTTTCTTCAGGTCATCTGACCATCGCATTTGTGGCCTTCCCCTTTTTCGTTTGTGATTCCATAGTCTCCAATGTATAATTGTCTTAGTCCATCTTTCATCTTTCTGCCTTAGGGTGTGTTAATACACAAATTAAGCTTTGCTACTAGGGTTGAGACATCTGTCACTTTTGTTTTATTACGGATCCATTCGTTTCTTTTTCTGTCTGATAGTTTAATGTTCAGCATTTGTCATTCCATGGATCTTTCTGTCTTTGCTATTTTTTCCATAATATTTTCCTTTGTAAACGTCCATGTCTGAGAGCCATATGTGAAGACAGGGAGTATACATAGATTGAAGACTCTCGTTTTTAGATATTGGGGGTATTTTGAATTCTTTAGAATATAAGACAGTTTTTCGAATGATGCCCAGACCAATCTTATTCTTCTCTTTATTTCTTCGGTCTGATTTTCTTTATTTAATTTGGTGATTTGGCCTAGATATATATACTCTTTTACTTGTTCTATTCTTGTTTGTGCCACTGTAATTATTAGTTCTTCTGGTTGATTAGTCATGGTTTTTGTTTTACTGTAATTCATCTTGAGTGTAGAGACATGTAGAGTTACATACGAAATATCTAGATAGAGCACTATGGATCAAAATAGATTTGCTATAAGGCAAATTTTGATTTATTAACTTAAAGAAGACCTCTGGCTGAGTAAAAAAAAATAAAAACTGATCGAATCCTCACATGCGACATAACAAATAGAAAGATGTAATATAACGATAATATTCAGAGAGAAAAAACAAACAAGGCAACTACCAAAAGAGCACTACACAGTATATTCGTTATTAATGAATGTAGAGTTATGTACGAGATATCATAGGGCACGACGGATGAAAATAGATTTACTATAAGACAAATTTTGTTTTTTCGCTTAAAGAAGGCCTCCAACTGAGTACAAAATAAACAACTGCTCAAATCCTAACATGCCATATAGCAAATGAAAGGTAAAGATATAATGAATATATTAAAATAGACAAAAACCCAAACAAGACGACTACCAAAATGGCATTACACAGCATCTTCGTTATTAATTAATGTATAGTTATACACGAGATATCATATGGCACTATAGATAAAAATAGATTTACTACAAGACAAATTTTTATTTATTGATTTAGAAAAGGCCTTTGGTTGAGTACAAAATAAACGACTGATCGAATCCTCACATGCGACATATCAAATGAAAGAGGAGGGTACAATGAATATATTAAGATAGGCAAAACAAAGACAATGCTAGAACTGAACAAGTTTTTCCGTACAATGCTAGGATTGTTCAATTTCGGACACTGCTCGTAACATATATACTACTGTATAAAATAACTGGGGAATGGCTGAAGTATGGGAATTCTTTTTACAATTTGAATAGATTATGACTTTTTGTAAAAATGTGTACTTTTTCGTGGTTTACAGAATAAGTATTTGTATATTTGTATTTGTATATCTTTACAATTTTTGTAGTAATTTCCTATTTTCCAGAAAATTAGGTAAAAACTGCATTAATGGTCATATTTTAAAATACATTAAAATATCATTAGAGTAGGTATAAATTTGTTACAATATTGCAGTTGAATTGATTCTTTGACAGTGTTGACATTGTATGTTTGGTGGAAATATTTAAAAATGCCTAGACGTGTGTTAGATGTAGATAGTCTAATTTGTAGTGTACATAAGTATTTTACGGATGAAAAAGAAAATGGCGGTCCTTTAAAATCGGTAATGTCTGTTCAACAAGGCGTATGTGATGCTCTAGGATTTAGTAAAACCAAACTAAGAGGAGTATTACAAAATCGCAATAATGAACAGCCGAAAGAAGATCACCGAAAAACTCGCCTATCATTGAAAACGAAAGATATTCCAGATGGAAAAAAATTTGAAATTCGTGATACCATTTATCGAATGCGGGCCAACAAGGAACATGTGACCTTAAATAAAATTCTCTCAGAATTAAAAGATAGAAAATTTGACGAAATTGGCAGAACAAGTTTATGGTAAGTGATACATAATTTGGGTTTCAAATTTCAAAAGGAGGATAACAGAAAAGCCCTTTGTGAAAGAAGTTCTGTTATGCATAAAAGAATTAACTTTCAAGAAAATATTCTAAATTAAAAGAAGAAAGGGCAAATTTTATATATTTAGATGAAACATGGATATTTTCTAGGGGTGCAACCAAGAGAATATGGCAAGATGATAACGTAAAGTCTATCAAACATACTTATGGAGAAGGGAAGCGACACATAATTTTACATGCAGGAGGGAAATCGGGTTTTATAAAAGGTGCTGATTTAATATTTTCATCTAAATCAAAATCAAGTGACTATCACGATAATATGAACACAGAAATGTTTGTAAAATGGTTACATGAAAAACTTCTCCCAGGTTTAAGTGAGCCCAGCGTAATTATTTTAGACAATGCACCTTACCATTCTGAAGTATTAAAACACAAGTCCAACGAATTCTTGGACTGGTAATAAAATTAAATAATGGTTGACAAAGGTTGAATGGTGACATATACCATTTACACAACATATTTTAAAATCAGAATTATTACGCTTGGCAAATATCCACGCAAAACCAAAAACCTTTGTTGCGGATCAGATTATTGAAAGTTACGGTCATCAAGTTTTACGTCTGCCACCGTATCATTGCCAGTTTAATCCCATCGAATATATATGGGGAATAGCAAAACAATATGACAACCATATTGGGCCTAACGGTTATAGCGACGACGCAGTTCGGGAAACTTGGCGAAAGGCACTTTCAATTGTAACTCCAGAAGTGTGGTGCAACTGTATATTCAAGTGCGAGAAACTAATAGAAGATTGGTGAACTCGTGAAAATAAAATAAACGAAATAAGTCCAATCATAATAACAATTAATGGTGATGACAGTGATGATGATGACGATTATGATATTTTTGATAATCTGATGATGATAATGACTGATTTTCATTTTTGTTGGCAAGTTAAATTTTTTTATTTTTTATTAGAAATTCTCTCCATGGAACAAATATACATAGACCATATTTTCTGTATGAAATGTAATATAAAATTATTATTAGGTTTATATTAGCCACATTAGACTCCATTAATGAAGTAATTCTTCTTATTATACTGTCAATTATATAAAAGATTTTCCATTATTATTTAATTAAAAAAAGTTATGGATTATTTTTCATTTCTTTTGACCAGTTAATATTTCCCCAAAGAGCAGGTAATTAAAACTGGGTACTACAATAAAAATTTTAATCCGAAACCCGCGTAAATATAGCGAACCGACTATATAGAAAATTACTACATTCCTAAGTTTACTAGAAAAACATTATTTTCGACCAGTACAATAAAATTATCAGGATTTGGTTTGTCTATATCACCATACCTTACTGCTACCCTTCTCATTGCTCTATTTTGTTGGTTTCAGTGTTTCTGTAAGATATCAATGATACTTTATTGTTTTTTCAGTTGCACCCCAAACTGGTTGGGTTACATGGACAGCCAACTGCGAACCACTCGATCTAGATGGGCCTCCTCGAGATGGAGGCTGGTCGGCCTGGTCACCGTGGACATGTACAGCATCCTGTGGCGGAGGTGAAGGATTCAGAACTAGAACATGCTCAAATCCGAGACCGAACATTTTCGGAAAATTATGCCAAGGATCCCCAACTTCCAACGGCAAATGTAACGACTTTCCTTGTGGTGACATCAGTCCGGAAACAATGGATACAATCAAGAATCATCTTCAAAGAAAAAGTTTTAATTATATTGTTGAAGAAGGATCTTCAAAGTTAATAAGGAATAATAAAGATGTATTGAAACTAATTGCGAAAGAATCACCGAAGGCTTATTATGAATGGACCTTGAATGGAATATTCATCAAACCAGAACCAAACAGAGTAATTTTTCAAAAAGAAAATATTGAGGTTAAAAATATAAGACAAACAGACTCTGGAGTATATGTATGTATATTATTTCGAGTAAATAAAAAACGAGTAATTCTTAGAGTCATAACTATATCAGTTATCTCCCAAACATTCGACATTGATACAAGAGCTACAAGATCGTTAACCATACCCTGCAACTCTGTCATTTTAGCCTACGTATATACCGATCTAAGCTTAGCAGTTCATCTTAATGATCAAGTTTATGTAGATTACGGAACGACAATGCTTTCAGCTGTAAACACTTATCAAATTGATACTTTAAACATGTCTCACACCGGCAACTGGACGTGCGTTGTAGATCAAAAAGATTTAAAATTTAAATGGACAACAAACTTCCTAAGAATTAACGTTAAAAAAGCTCCTAATTTGTTCACAAATTTAATGGAGGATAAATTGACGAAGCCTATCTTCGGCTGGATGAAAAGTGAGACTCAAGTCTTGGTTGCTCTTATTTTTATTGTGGTCGCTGTTGTTATGCTTGTTGTTATTTTTTTAATATTGTATTACAAATTTTGTACATTAAAAACTTCAAGCTATAATGTAAATAGAAGAAAGTAATAAATATGTTCTTAATAAGTGAATATCTATGAGTATTTTCTTGCGCATAATCGTAATTAATTTAAAATCAAAAAACATATAAAAATTTGTATTCCATATTCAGAACGCTGCATGTTGATTCAGATAAGTGCGCACCCTCTGGACATAAATATAATTCAGGTTTATGCTCCCACATCTTAGAGTACTGATGAAGAAGTTGAAGAGTTTTACGAACGCTTAGACGAAATCATAAAAAACCTAAAGAAACAAGACATAACCATGGTAATAGGGGATTTTAACTCAGTCAACAAGTCGCATAAAAAAGTGTGAGAAATTTATAAAAGTATTTATACATACTTAGAAATGTTTTAAAATTGTCTGTGGCAATCCGCATAAATTTGATAAGATCGATATGCGAACCATTTTTAGAGTTATTCTATTTTCATGGAGGAAATAAGACGGAAGGGCTCCTTCAGCCATTATCAGAAAATTATGCGGAAATTTTCTACCGGATTAGATTAGATATGGTCTAACCACACCTGTACAAGGCACAAATGCATATGTAAAGATAGGTCTGGTATAGGGGCAGTACATACAGATGCAAAAGTACTGAATTTGTAAATGGGACTTTAAAAGATTAAAAAAATTGTTATCTTCAAACGTAGCCTTTTGGCTATTCATTAAAATTTCTACACAAATTATCAATAATTGTTTGGACTTGTATTCAAATAAAAGATCTCTTCTCTGTGTTTTCTTTTTTAAATTAAATCAAAACAAAGAATTTTCTTTCAAGAAATATTACTTCTTTTAATTTTTTATATCTGAATTAAAATATTATACTTATTGTGAACTGAAATTACTGAAAAAATATTAAAAACCGAAATAATTAAGATCTAGTTCTGATCGTAGTTGAAAGTCTTTTTTCATTATATGGCACAATAACCTATTATTTTTAAGAATTCTTTACTGGCTCCTTTTCTTTTTATGACTGTTATCTGCCCACTGACTGTTTTGCTCGGACTCTCAGTTGCTCTGCACACGCCTTACTTCTGCACCGTACTGAAGACGACCAATAGTCAGAAATACATATACGGTTGCCTTTCATCGATATACCATTTTTGGTTTTCTGTTTTGCGAGACATGCCATTACTTTTTACTTTTATTATTCACTCGCATTATCCTTTTCCATTTGTTTTAAACGTTTCGACGTTTGACATTCCTTTCCCCAGGTAGCTGTAGCTTCCTCCGTGGTTGGTGTTCGTTGTTTCCCTGGAAACCATCAGGGTCTTCTAACTGTAATACTACAAATTGGTTACATTGCCTCTGTAGTGATCCTTTCCCAATTATCCCAATTATCCCAAGTTAATATGCTCCTTTTTTAACTTGGCTGCACCGTACTGAAGACGTCCCATACTCAGAAATACGTATATACGGTTTCCTTCCATCGATATGCCATTTTTTGTTTTCTATTTTGCGAGACATGCCATTACTTTTTACTTACATATATATATATATATATATATATATATAATATATATATATATATATATATATATATATATTGTTATGGATCAGTTTATCGATCAGAAATAGAATAGTTTTTTATTATTTTAATATACCGCGGGCATATAAGTTAAAATAAAACCCTGTAATTATTTGTAATAGTTAGAATAAGAGAAAACATTGTTCCGTGACGGGATTATAACGAGTTTTTCCGTGAAAGACTGAGTGAATAGTGAAAGGACAATGGAACCCATATAATTATAGATTTAGGAATAAACTTGTAATTGAATTTTGCGGTGGGCATTTTTCGAAAGTAAATAAAAATTAGATTTAGATAAGAGATAACAAGAATTTGGAAACTTATTTCTGTTGAAAAAGGCAAAATTGTTAATGGTTTCTGAAAAGTAATTTGAGTGAAAGTAGTTTATTTGTTTTAAATATCATGTTGGAAATTTTCTAAATCGAAAATAAGTGGGAAAGATGAATGCTTATGATTGGTTAAAAAAGAATGGTGGGAATGAGAGAGTTGAGAAGGTTGTCTGGGAGAGATTGAAAGATTATTATGTTACCGGCAGATCAGAGGAGAAGACGTGTTATCGTGTAGTCAATCTGAGTACCAGTGTTTTCGTTTGTTAGTGAAAAAGGTGGAAGTTGAGAGCAGATCAAAATCGAGAAGATTAATACCTCTTTTGAGTCTGCATAGTCCACGAGATATAATTGAGAAAGAAAGGAGAGTTTGTGAATAAAAAGTACCGGTCAAAAGAGGCTTGGGCTTGTGTGTTTTCGGAGGAGTAGTTTGCTGGTATGCGGTTTGGATCGATGCTGAGAACGGGAAATATTTGATGGTAGCCGGACATAATCAATCAAGAAAGGAACTGTGGTTTGATCGAGAGGAGACATCATTGGTGTAAAAATAAAGGTCAGTCAAATAATTTGAATGAAAGAAAATTTTAAGATATTCTAAAGATAAAATCAAATATAAGCATACGAACTAAGATTCCAAGTTTCAAAGAGTTATTTTTTTTGTGAATAAATTATATTTTTATATGGTCATTTTTTTTAGTAGATATTATTATAAAACAGATTAATAGATAGTTTGTAATTAAAATTAAATTTAGAGTATAGGAATTTGTTGGGAAAGATAATTGCCCACAAAAGTTATTTATTAATATTCATCGCTTATTGCTTATTGAAAATAAATAATAACTTGTGTGCATATTTATGTTGTTTTAATGTTAGTTCCGTTTCCTGTTCTATCCCGATTATGAGCAACTAGGAGATACTGAACCCACTAGAAGAGATATATAAAGTAAACTGATTAAAGTAATAATTAACAAAAAACAGGCACCCTGAGAATTTTTAATAGTAATTGAATTGTATGACTCTGCATAAATTAGTGAATTAATTAATTAAATAATTGGATTAATTAAATTAGTGTTAATTAATAATAAAACATCTTAAAGCAGATCACAACTATATATATATATATATATATATATATATATATATATATATATATATATATATATAGTTTCAGGGATAAGACTCCGCCCAATCTATCCTAGATGGAGTACTGAAGAGTTCAGTCTTACAGTCTCAGACCACCACGGTTTTTGTAAGTTTTTTTACCACTTTTTTTACTTTTTTTAAAACAAAAATAATTGCACATTAGAGGGCTACGACATAAAGCATTACTTTCGTCTTCAGATGTATTTATATTACTCGAACAACTATGAACCTGATGAGATTTCAATGTCAACGAACTAAAATCACAACTGGTTCATTACAAAGATGTTGTTATAATTTCTATGCGATTGTTGTATTAAATAAAGTAAATAAAATTAAAGGTAGCCTAACTAGTAATAGGGGCGTGTATTTTGTTGGTAAGACCGTTAAAGCGAGAAAAACATGCTTGTATATACATTTTGTTTCTTACAAGGGTCTTGTGCATAGCAATCAGTGAGGATGTTCGTTTCCTTCGTGTTGAAGAAATAATATGTTTTAGCACGTGATATATGATTATAGATATAAAATTGTCTACACACATAAAATTCAGAATAAAATAGAGACTGAGAAGTCTCTTAAAATATTACGAATCATTGAGTGTTTGAAATATCAAATGGTTCGAAATTTGTGAGAGAAAATAAATAAAACTTTGAATTATTAAGTGTTGATCAATTATTATTTATTAACTGCTATTCTATAACGATGACAAAAGTTTAGAGTTACATTCGTGTACATACATGTATGTACGTTCACCAAATATAGCTGAAAGTGTGAAATTCCCATTGCCTGCGCTAACAATGAAGTGAGAACGCACATACAAACGAGTGCGAGTGCGAGGTCCGTCGTTTGACGAAAGCGTATCATGATCGTCACGCGTTTTCACACTTTCAGCTATATTTGGCGAACTGTATTCATAATGTGAACTAATCAATCTTTCAAAAGAAAGATTGATTAGTTCTGGTTTGGTAAAATCTGGTTTGCTTCAGAGCACATTGCTGCAGCTCAGACTGCTCAATAATTTTTTTTTAAGAAAAAGTGCCTGAAATGCTTTTTTATCACTTTTTTTTGTATACAGAAGGTTTGTACGGTATCAAATGAGGATCTTGCTTCCTTAACTGACACCTCTGCCAAAAGTTCGTTACGTTTTTCATTCGTATCTGTCGCAGATAAAATTTCGCATTAGGTTAGTGAACCTGAGACAGCATCTTCATCCACTTGAACAAAGTCAGAAAAACTCACACCACCGATGTGAACTAATGGTTCTATTGCTGGTTCTTCATCATCCTTAAGTATTGGAAGATTTTCCTGATCTTTTTTTAAGAAACCGGATTTTTTAAAGCAGTTGAGAATAGTTAATAGTGTTATACCTCTCCATGCCTTATCAATCAGTAAAATAACTGTCAGAACCGTGATGTTTGCAGTTAGCTGCTTGTCGAGAGATTCTAAAACGAGCTTAACAATTTGTGATAGAAGGTCTTAAAATTATGGATAATCCCTTGGTCCAATGGGCGCAATTTGGAAGTTGTCTTTGGGTGAAAAGAAGTAGAGTTCCACGTTGGATAATGTAGGAGGATTGTTGTGGACAGTGCAATTGTCTAAAAATAGTAAAATTTTACACTTTAGCCGTTTTATCTCCCCATTAACTGTTAAAAGCAAATTGTTAAACAATTATGTCGTCATCTAAGCTTTTTTGTTAGTACGATAATCCGTAGAAAACGATTTCACACTAAGAGTTTATGTTTTTCCAATCCGTCTATATTTACTGCAAGGAAAACTGTCAACCTCTCTTTACTATGTTTTCCCCCATGACATTAAAAATGTCTCGGGCATCATAGTTTTCAATCAAGGTCTTCAATTTACCGTGCCAATATAAGAAAACTGCATCATCAACACAACAAAATTTGTTAGCCACTTTTCACTTAGCGAACTCTTTTGCTTTTTCCTTTAACAAGTTTCCGGTAATAGACAGTTTTTGTCCTCTACACTGTCTTAGCCAATTGATCTGACTTTCTTTCAGACGAGGAAATTCACCTTTAATAGTTCTTTTCCATACTCCAATTTTAATTGTATTATATTGTATATACAATTTTCAGTGACAATAAAGCATATTTCTATTCTATTCTATAGAGCACAAAAATTATAGAATAAGAATATGTTTATTTTTGTACTTAGGAAAAACCAAAAGTTGAAATTGATTTAAATCACGTCGTATTTTATACTCTTATATAATATAATAGCTTATTTACCTGCAAAAGTCAATATTTCTAAAGATTTCAAATGGCACATTCAAATTTTAATCCGTACTTACACCACTTCGTATTTCAATACACACTGAATAACCCAGTTAGGTTTACGTACGATTGAAATAACACACATTTTCAAAGAAAACACATTTAATGTAATATCAAATATTTATTGAGCTACTTATTCGGAATATAAAGAGAAGTAGGTTATAGATTTTAATCCCTAATACATTTTATCCATTTATTATACGTTAACCGGGTTAGTTTTTCAGCATCCTCAATTCTACGGTCAGGTCACAATAATTGTTAGTTCAATTTTTTATATATATATTTATTCAATAGCAATTAGAGTTTATATTTTTAGTACAGATAAATAAGCTAAAATCAAAAAACCCTGGTCATAAAGACACATGCGGTTCAAATCCAATTCTTTCCGCAAGAGAAGAGTCTGATCTTTAAAGGTAAAGTTAATTTAGATAGGTAAAATGTTGAACTATGTTAAATGACGTGAGTGTTTTTATTTTTGCATTTGGATAGACAGAGCAGGCAACAAAAAGATTTCTTAGGAAACGAGAGGACGAATCCCTAATCCGTTTAAAAACAGCAGACCTGGTGATAGATGGTTCTTACCGGAAAACTGGCAAAATAGATATGACTTAAATAGCACTCTATATTTTAGGCTTTCCTAAAAAGACATCCAACAACTGTACAGCGAACAAGTGAAGCAGTAAGTGACGCGAGCGATTGTGTTTCGGAAGCAGAGATTCGAAAATGGTTCAAAGATATAAACAATTATCTTGTTTCCAAAAATTTAATCATTAATGACTCTTCAAGAATGACGACGAATCCGATTCCGATTTTCAGATTTGCTCAGAAACTGGCAAAGTTTTTACTAGAAAAAGCACGAAAAATGTTTATTCTGTGAAAAAAGGATCATCTAAGGAAAGCATCACTGTCATGTTTTCGTTTTCCTCCTTCCAAAATAATTTGTTCACATATGAACGTTTTATTTTTAAAGCGAATTACAGAAAAAATAAGTCAGATCGTCAAAGACCCTGTTTAAGGCATTAAAAGATCCGAGAATGGGTGGATGACGGCAGAGACGTTTTTTGCTTATGTGAAAAATGTAGTCCATCCATATATCATGGATGAAAAATAATATACAATTCCCTGTGTTATTTTTAGATGGCCATTCGGTCTCATGTAACTTATTTAAGTAGACTTTGTAATGAATTCAAAATTTGGAAGTTATAGCCCTATATCCGAATGCAACCCGAATTCTTCAACCTTGTTGCAGTATTCAGGCCCATAAAAGTGGGATGGAAAAATGCCATCAAGGAATTTTACGAACAAAATCCTGGAGAAGTTCTAAATAAAATGACATTTGCTCTACTATTGGAAAAGTAGTGGCAAATAATATTAAGAGGGACACGTTAGTTAATGGATTTCATGTGTGTGGTTTATTCCCATTCAACTCAGATGCAGTTAATTACACTGAGGTAATATTATAAAAACTGTTTTATTTACCTATGTTAATATCACCTTATCGCATTTTAGATAAAAGAGTTGCCCCGCGTATGGACCATACAAGATTCTTGAGTTTGGCTGGAGAAGATTTAATCAAAAGATTTCAATCTTTCGATGATATTTTGGTTAAACAACGCATTACCGAAAAATTTTTTACTTTATACAAAATATAGAATTATTTTGAAAAACCAGATTCTTGGCCAAAACAAACGTCTTAACCAAGAAGTCTTGTGAACAGCCCTTGGCTGGTGGCACTCCTCCGTTATGTGTTTAATAGATTGAACCTCGACGCAGCTGCATGACGGTGATGGTAGCTTGCCCAATTTGTGTAACATATCTTCACATCGACCATGTTGAGTTCTAATGAAGTTAAGTGTGCACCAGGTCTTACATGGTGGGTCAAATCCAGGAGGTGTCTCTGTGATGCAAGGTATTTCTGTATTTGGTTGAGCTGCCGACCATTCATGGATCCATTTGGTGATCATGTTGAACCCTATGACTGCAGCTGATTCTGCAGTTTGTATTGGAGAGTTTCTGGAGCGCAGTCGACTTTTGGTTGCATTTCTATATAATTATGAATCGGCAGCGCCGTGTTGCTAAGGATCTTGTTATATTCTTTGGTAAACATATTGAGTCAGTGAAGATGTGGTGGTGTCACTCAGCACTGGTAGCCAATGTGTTGGTGTAGATTTAATTACTCCAGCGAACATTCTCATTGTGTTATTTAGCTAGACATCTATCTTTTCAACGTAACCACTGTTGATCCATATTGGCGTGCAGTATTCAGCTACGGAATAAACAAGAGCTAAGCCTGAAGACCTGAGTGTGGACGCCGATGCCCCCGTGTTGTGCCGCAGAGCTTCTGAATGATGTTATTTTCGGTTTTTAGCTTCTCGGAAACTATACTTAAATGTTCTCTAAAGCTTAACGTTCAGTCCAAGGCCACGCTTAGATATTTTGAATGTTTATTGTGGTTGAGTAGTATGTTATCAAAGTGAACGTTAAGTGTTCTTGGCGCCAAATTGTTGTTTAAGTGGAAGCAGATTACTATGGTCTTGGAGGCATTGGGGCAAAGTCTCCATTTTTGAAAGTAATTTCCCATAACCTCTATGTAGGTCTTTCGTAAGAATCTCTTCAGCTATTTTAGTGACTTAGTTTGGGTTAATAAAGCCCAGTAATCAGCATAGTCAAACTTTGTTGATTTTGTTGTCAGCATGTCTGCGACGTAAAGGCTAAACAGCAGTGGTACGAGTACAGAGCCTTGTAGCAGACCATTTTTGAGTTTTCTGTGGGTGCTTACTTCGGATCCTATAGTTACATGAAATACTCTGTCAGTGAGCATATTTTTTATTAATATAGCGGTGAATTTGCAAGGAATAGTGCATAAGAGTTTATACATCATTCCTTCTCGCCCGACGCTGTCGAAAGCTGCTGGCAGATCTATGAACGCAGCAGAACTCTTTAATTTTCTTTGAAAGCCGGCTTCTATATAAGTACAGAGAGATATCACCTGGTCTGTGCAACCTTGATTTGGTCTAAAACCTGCTTGCTCAATTGGTATAGCTTTGAGGATTGTTGGACTTATTCTGTTAACAATTAATCGAGTAGTTTAAACATTATAGACAGTAGAGCAATTGGTCGATAGCTTTTTGGGTGGTCAGCAGGTTTACCCGGTTTTAGTATTGCTATGACTTTTGAGTTTTGAAATTCCCGTGGGACTCTGCCGCTCTGAATTATGTTTGTGAAGAAATGTGATAGTATGAATTCGTAATGGATGCCGTCGAAACTTGACCGACAATGATGTTTTAGTACACTTACTTAAACTTTTATTTTGCTGTATTTTCTGTGTAAAATATGCACTGTACGACATTTTTTCCGAAAATATGCAAAAACGCCATTTTGTGCATAAAATAGGTAAAATATGCAATTTTCTCTAGTGATCACCAACATCCGCGACCGGGAGATCGCACAAGACACTTAAAAGAAGACAGAAAAGCCTTAATATTTTTAAAATTGTATAAAAGCAATTGTAGATGTTTGTGACCAATTCTGTGCTAACTATGATATACGAAGACGAAAAAATGTGCTTTGGCTATTTTCTTTGAATAGACGTCTGTCAGAAAAACGTAAAAACTCATCAAATGACTGCCAGTTCTTCTCAATATACCTCAAATTCTGGAAACATTCTTCAACCATATTTGTCAGGATCAATCTTTGCTCATATGCTTAAATTAAAGTTTTATGCATAGATTGTGTTGACAGCGAACTTTTATGTATTATTTTAATATTTTAACACATTTTTATAGATAAAATAAAACGTTTAAACAACTTATGTTTTATTGATTTTAAATACAGTGGATAATATTGTCGCCACGCGACCAATTATATGATTTTTTTGTGATGCGACTATTTACGAGTTAATTTTAATAAAAATAATAAACACAAAATTACCTCCACTTTACGAAGATCTATATATTTATAAAAATAAAATACATGCACACTGAGATAAAAACCTTAATAAATACGTTTTTAAAGCTTATTTATATTTATCTACATAATTACTAGAATATTAACTAAATTTCAATAAATATGAATTGCATGTAGGGTGCTAGGGCCGTTCTTTGTGCAGCTTTGTTGTTTTATTTTACCGAGGTTACAGTAATCCGTCAATCAATAATTGAAATTTGATAGGTTTTAAACATCTGTTACCCTCACAAAAAGTATTGCCCTTTTTATACACCACATATAATACGTAATATTTAAATATAACCCTTTCTAATTGATTGTCAATGGCTTTTAAGGGTGATGAATCACCGTATTGCACTTGTCAACACAATCATGTTTACTGTCACCATTCATGTGTGAATAATAACCCTTTAAATTTATTCTCCCCTATCCTTAACATCATTTCAAATGTGAATAATCTTTAAAAACTACGACAAAAACAGTGGAACAACAAAAACCCGGTTCGTATACATTGTCCACGACAATCCTATTGACAAATCAAAGTAATCTGTGTAGGTACTTATACGTGTTTAGAAAAAAACAAGACACTAATTATGTATGACATGGGTAAACATTAGTATATTGATAGTGATAAAATTGACTCACCTTTGGTGCAGAAGACATTATCACCGGTTATCCTGTTTTTCCGCAAAAAACACACTAAACCGAACTATTTACCCACATTCATACCTTTTAGATTCACTTATTGATCGTTATTACCAAAAATTCTCATGCTCGCGCTGGGCAGCAGTGTTGCCAAGTGCGATCTGTCATTTTGAAATTTTATTTAAATTTTACTGTAAAAGACGGTATAAATAAAATTAATGTTTATTTATATTTTCTTTAAATATTTTTTGATAAGAAATAGTTGTATGCTTTAAACAAAGACTACTTATCTGTAGTGGTAGATTGCCGTTATTTAAATAAAAGTTTCTTGCATGTAATTAAAAACATTAATAATCATGGTTACTTTAGGCAGCTGCAGACTTCATAGACAATAATTTTACCTTCATGAATTCTATAGTCGTTTATTCTTCTCCTTCGCTTAAGATCATTTTACTTTTCAGCGTAGGATTGTTTATCGTTTATCGTTTAACGTTTTTCTTCGTTCCTCATTAAATTATTTTGGTTACTCTTCATTAGGTGTCCTTATCGGTCAAACTGCTTTCTCTCAATTTTTTTCTGTACAGGTTTTTTTGGCAATCGGGCTTAAGTGCTGTAAGGGTAACACTCCTTCCACGCTTTTTTACATCTTTTTTTGTTCCGGCTTTAACTTTTGGCAACGGAATTAGGTCTCTTGACGACGTGGCTGAAAAATGTGTGTCGGCATTAGCACGAACAGGGGAATCGGGCACCCAAGAACATCCGGGTTTAGGACCATTCACTGGTGGGGGAAGATTTTCGTCAATTGTCGGTACGAATGGATTATTTTTGACAGGATTATCAACTACGGGTGTGAGATGAAAATGTAGTGACGAGAAATGTTTCTGTACTGGTGTAGTTGGCGTTGAGTCAGTTGTCTCTGGCATAGTCGGCGATGTTTCCTGGATTGTACTGCCAACAGGACTTTCCAAAGGAATATATGTTGTTTCTGATGGTAGAAAGTCATCATCTGTGAATTTCTTTACATTGGATGGCCAGATACCAGATTTTTCAAAGCCAATAATGGCAGTTGTCATATTTGAGAACATTAAGAAAGCCTGGCTAAAAAGTGTTGATATGTCGAAAAGCTGAACCACTTCCTGAATGCGACTTGAGGCACTTTCTTATTTCATCCTCATAACACAAGCTCAAGGGCTTCATGAATGCAACGTCCAATGGTTGAATTTTGTGAGAGCAATGAGAGAGGAAGCACAATATTAACACACCATTGTCATGTGCTAGATCTACTGC